TCCTGCTTTGGCTCAGATTGACTCCCATGCCCACCTGCTAGCACTGTGCAACTTGTTTGGGGCTCCCTTTCTTCCCACCTGCCCCCAGACATGACCTTCACCCATCCACCTCTCTGCTCAGGCACCATCCTCGCAGGGCATTTTGTGGATCCGGGGGGCAAGCTGGAACCACAAGGGCATGATTCCCTGTGCCCGCATTCAAGCAGGCCCCCAAGGACCCTGGCCCAGCTCCAAGGGTGGTGCATGGAGCCTCCATGAAGCAAAACCCTGATCCAGGGATGGAGAGAGCATGTCGCTATCTGCCGAGCCTGGGAAAGAACCCAGGAGTCGTGGCTCCCCTTCCCTCGTGGCTGGTGCCACGGTGCATCAGTGCAAACCAGAAGCAGCTCCAGCAGAGCCAGCGGTCTGGGCATGGAGGACCGGGAGGGGGCATTCCCCTCCCCCTGTGCTGACTCCTCACTCCCCAGCTCCGGGTCTCTCGGGGAAGTGGGATTTAAAAGGCTTTTGTACCGCGGCCGTACAGAAACCTTACACGCGGGGCGGGAGGGGGAGAGGAGAAGGAAGGTCAGGTTGGAAAGTCAAAGGCCTGGAAAAACCTGCAGGCCAGCCCCAAAGGGTGTGGCGGGGGCAGGGGGACCCTGGGTCACATTGGAGGGGCAAAGCCCCTGACCGAACCAGGCCTGAGCCCGGCTGTCCCCTTCCTTTGCTTGCTGCTCCATCAATTGCCCTGCTTTCCCCAATGGGAAGCGCTGCCGGTACCCAGAGCTGCTAACACAAGCTCCCCAGTGCCCCTGTTCCTGGCATGGGGGGTGGAGGCCCATGCCATGAAGCCTTGAAGGCAGGACAAATGCCTAATGGACAAATGCTTAATGAGGTTTGTTAGCATGTGGACTCCCAGCCCATGGTCCCCAGGGCAGCACCAGGGAATAGGCAGGGACGGACTGGGAGTAGCTGCTGTGCAAAAGCCTGGGGACCAGCTCCCATGCCAAAGAGCTGGTGGCCTGGGCACACAACAGGCAGGGAAGCAACCAGCCCCAGTTGCCCTGAGCTGCCTCTCCTGACCCCTGGCCCATTGCCCTCCCTGTAAGAAGTGGCTGCAACCAGCCAAACGAGAAAGCCCAGCCGGAGGCAGGAAGCTGAGGACAGGGACTCAGCACAGAGTAGAGAGATCAGAGCAGCCTGGGGGCAACAGCCCTGTAAAGTGATGCTTAAACTTTCTCTGCTCCTGCCCTCCCTGCTGCACCCGTGTGAGCTGGGCATGGGGGCAGCTCCATCACTTCCCTCTGGGAGTCAAACCACAGGCTCAGGGCTTGGTGGCAGAGGGCGCGGGGCAGCCTGCCTGCAGAGAAGTGCCCTTCTGACCTCTGCCCTGGGCTCCTGGCGGTGCCTGACAGTGATCTTTGCATGCATTAGCCACCGCTATCTACCAAGCCCTGCTCTAAGGCTTGAGGGCTTTCCCCAGCTATGCAAATTCCTCCCGGAGGGGGCACAAATCCAGCCAGAGATGCAGTCCGTCAAGGGGGAGAAACCTGCCTGGGACACCCTGTAACCTCCCTCCCGGCAGCTGCCAGCTCCTGCAGAGGCAGAAGGCAAAGCCCTGGCCTGAGCAGCCAAGAGCTCTGATTCTTAATGAGCACTGTGCTCTAACTATGGCAACCCCAGATGGGCCCAGTTCGTCTGTCCGCTCCCCCTTGCTCACAGCGGGACAGCAGCTGGTGGGGAGGAAGCATGCTGCGCTGAGGCTGCCGATACATCCCAGCTGAGATCTGGGCTGTCTTGATCTCAGGAGACCGCTCCGCGCACACTCCCAGCAGGACAGGTCCGAACAGAAGTCCGGAGCTGGCATCCCCTGGAAATGCCTCCCAACGGAGCTGCTGCAGGCACTGGCCTATCCCCACCGTGCCAAGGATGCACCTGCCAGAGAGACGTCTCTCTGTAGGGTTCCTGATGCTTCTCAAGAGCACGTCACTCGTGCCCGGGGAAAGTGCTGCATGGGGTCATTTCACCTGCTCCCCTTTCCAGGGATGGTTCGTGTCCCTCCCATTCCTACAGGGACCCCCGCCTGGCTTGACACCTGCAGCATCATGGCATGCCTGTGCCTGGCAGCACCCAGAAGGTGCCCAGGGGTGTGAAATCCCTGGTCCTGTTCCAGTGGTATGAAACCCCCTCTGAACACCCCCTGCCGCATGGGTCTCCCCAAGGGTTACCAACCACGTCTCGTCACTGGCATCCCATGGACCCCTAGTCGCTTGGGTGAGAGTCGAAGTGACTGGGAAAGCAGCACCCAGACCCCTCCAGGGACCCAGACGTGCCTGCTCCCCTGGGTGGGAAACCGGCACTACCTTGTGAGCAGGTTCGAGATGGCTCGGAGAGCACGACGGGGGTCTTACCTTGCAGAGGCACCTGCAGCTGTCCTGGCCGGCGTCGCTGGCCCGCGCGCTCTGCCTGTCACGCCGGCCCCCTGCATTTCATCACATGCTGCGTTGGGGTTACTTAGAATGAAAGCCCAGTCCTCGGTGCTCCCAGGGGGCTCGGCACGCCGCGGCTGCAGAGACAATCGTGTTAACCCCTCGCACGGCTCCGGCTGCCGACCCCCGCGCGCGTCGACTGCCTGCGGGGAGGGGACACCGGGCGAATGCGGTGCCTTTCTCTCCACCCCCTGCTCCATCCCAGGCACGACTCCCCTCCGGGGTACCATGCTTTCCGCTGTACCCTCTGCATAGGGGTAGTCACCCACTGGCCTCCCCTCCTTGTAGAGGGGCACAGCACAGGGCATCGATGGGCTGGCCCAGGGACAGAGCTGGGAGGAGAGCCCAGGTTGCATCTAGCCATGCTGTAGCCACCTTGAAAGCACTCCTGCCTGAACGTGGAGATGCTCCGGGGCAGCAGCTCACAGGGGTGCCACTCTCTGGCCCTCACAGCTGGGGTGACCATGCCAGCAGGAGGGGTAGCACCCACTGCTGCAATGCAGCTCAACTGGGCAAGCTCAGGCCCACCTTGGAAGCTGCCAGGCCACCGAGCACTCACCTTTCACTTCCACCTGCGCTCTTCCCAGCCCCGGCTGGGATGTTGGCCCCCAGGGCCGGCTCTTCCAACTACTTCTTGCTGCAGCCACCTGCATGGGTCACCTCATTGCAGGCTGGCGTGGTGGGGAGCTCACCCCAGGGCTGCCAAGTGGCGGGGAGTAGACATGCTGCATTGCCACGTGTCGCTCTGAGCAAGTTGCTCCAGCCTTCGGTTCCCACTTATCCATGGGGGACAATGTCCCTTTGCCTATGTGGCCTGACTAGGCTGCGGCAACCTAGCAGGGACCATTTGCAGCACAGCCCCAGGATCAGTGGGGCTGACTACGATGCCAGCCCCGGCACCGATAGTGTGGGGAACTCGTGATGAACACCACCGGGGACCAGGCAGGCAGAAGCCCGCATGGAGGGAGGGACGGAGAGAAGACAGGGGCAGGCTGGGCTGGACTGGCCACATTCACACTCCAGCAGTGCAGCAGCTTGGGACCTGCAGAGCTGTGAATCTGGGGCAAGGGGCTGGAGACAGGGTGACCTAAGAGCCAGTGCAGGCCAGAACTGCAAGGTCCCATCAGTGGAACTGCTGAGACTGAGATCGGCCTCTGGACAGCCAACGGACTGGGGTTGAGTGGCCGGGGGGTAGGGATGCACCAACACCAAAGTCACTGGGGGAGCATGAGGCAAGGCCCCCCCTGCACGGCTGATTCACGGCCCCGGGAAAGAGCGTGTTGCTGCAAGACCCCGGCCACGGTGCGTCCCACTGACGTCAGGCCCTCGCCCAGGCTTCTAGGCGGGGGCTGGTGCAGGCGCTCCCGAAGCTCGCAAAGGAGCCCTGGGGCCAGGGAGCACCTGGTTACAACAGCACGATCCCCAGTGACGCGGGTGGCCCTGTGCCAGGGCTCCCAGCTGGCTCACGCCTGAGGGAACGGGCGGCTCAGGGGCGCGTCCGACCCGACATGGCTCCTGCGTGCAGCGAGTGCTGGTTCTCAGTTCAGCAGCAGAGTGGCCATAGAGGGGCTGGGAAGCGTGGTTCACGGCCTCTCTGCAATGTACCGCATGGAGGAGGGCGACCGGGTTTGCTTAGGATGCACAGGGCAACCGGCTGGCATCTCTGCCTAGCTCATCGGTCGCCCCTTGGCCTCTAAAGAGCTGTGTAGTGCAAGGTGCTGACTGCTCAGGGATCTGCACAGCCCCTGCCCACAGTGAGGCTCAGCTACAAGTGGGGACAGCAGAGCGCCAGGCTGCAAAAGCACCTGCTGCCAGGCTGAAAGCCTGGAGCCGGATGGCCCATGTTTGCCTACAGGACAGCCCAGGACATGCCTCCCTCTAGGGGATTACACCACATGCATGTGCTTCCTTCCCAGGCGCTGGGATGCTGGGCTAGTGTCACCTGATGCTCACCCACCTATTTGCTTTGCAGCCCACCTCACGCCAGGGGTGCCTCGTCTGATCTGCTGCTCCTTTCCCTTCCGCTGTGGAGGAGAGCGAGCAACGGATGCAGTCTCTACACTGACACCAGGTGTGGGGCTGCTTCAGCCAGGAACATGCAGGACCCCTCCTGTGTCTGTGACCTCTCACCCGCAGACCTGGGAGTTGATTGAGATGGGGACTGAAGTGGAGGGGAGCGAACTTCAGGAGTCATTTTGTGGTTCAGTCAACCAAGGCTAATGTGATGGGAAGGGAATAACGGCACAGGGCCAAGGGACGGGAAAGGGGTGTGTGCATGTGTGTCAGAGATCTGGGTATGTGTGCATGTTGCAAAGATTCAGAGATATGTGTGTGTGTGCAAGCATGTGTGTATGCTTCAGAGATGTATGTGTGTGTGTGTGTGTGTGTGTGAGGTTCAGAGATCTGAGGATGTATGTGTGCATGTTTCAGAGATCTGAGTGTGTGTGCACGAGCATTTCAGATCTGAGCGTGCATATGTTTCAGAGATCTGAGTGTGTGTGTGCATGCATGTTTCAGATATCTGTTTGTGTGTGCATGTTTCAGAGATCTGGGTGTGCATGCGTGTTTCAGAGATCTGAGTGTGTGGAGATGATGTGGAAATGTGTGTACATGCATGGTGGGGTGGGGACAGCTGCCCAAATGACCAGCGAAGTGCACGGGAGAGGGTTTGAGTGAGCTACAGTGTGCAAAGGCGTGCAGAAGCGGGTTGCACACATGGGCACAAGGAAAGGGCACCGTGTATCCATGTGTCGTGTCTAGGTTTGATCTCTGAAACCCACACACATGTGCAAACCCACAACCCCCCCTTCCCACCCTTGCCCCTGAGCCCGTATCCCCTTCCCATTGCATCAGCCTTGGCTGGTTGAATTAAAGATGCCACTGGATCCAGTCCCTTGGCCTGAGCTCACCAACAACTTACCAGGCTCAGGACCAAGCCCTTGGACTTCAGACTTGGAGCAAAGCGCCTGCTCCCTCAGGCTAGCAGCAGACCCCTAGGAGCCCGCTAGGGCCTGGCTACCCTGGAAAGCCGAGGAGGCGCCAGGGAGGGTGAGAACATGAAGTGCCCGTGTTGTTCCCGGGTGACGCCTGCTTGCAATAGGAGCCTTCGCACGCGGGATTCTTGTCATTCCAGGAAGAGTTATCCGAGACTCTCTCCTGGGGTGAGCCAGCCTCAAGTTGGGACAAGACTGGACAGAGAAATAGCGTGTGTGTGCATGTGTGTGGGTATATGTGCATGTGTGTGTAGCTGCATGTGTGTACATGCATGTGCGCATCAGCATATGTGTGTGTGCATCTGTGTATGCGTTTGTGCATCTGCACATGAGCATGTGTACATGCATGTATATCAGCGTATGATCATGTTTATATATGCAGTGTAGATCTGAGTGTGTGCATGCATGTGTGTGTGTGTGCATGCATCCACATGTGTGCGTATACATGCGTGCAAGGGTCAAGAGGGAACCCACTGCAACCTCTCGTGACAAATGCTCCTGACGTGTACAGCCTAGGGCTGCTGGCACCAAAAGAGTTAATCAGTCTCCAGCTGGGCAATCAAGAAGTCACGTCCACGGCCAGGTCAGCACGGAGGGTGGACTGGACTGCCCCGTGGCCGCGAGGCAGGGCCCACAACCAGACATTCACACTGAATGACCAGGGACATGTGAGCGTGGCCTGACTGCAGCTGGGGGCAAAGGGCTCTCAGGGGTGGGGGAACCTAGGACTCGTGGAGGGCACCTGTGAACCCGTGTCCCACTCTGTGTCCCAAAGAGGAGGGCATCTGTGCCATCCCAGCTTCATGCCAGCTCCCTGTCCAAGCTGGGGGACATGACCCCAGCTCTGTGCAAAGGCCGATAGACTCGGGCAGTGCAAAGTTGCCAGAGGGTCAGGCCTGAGACCTTGGGCGGGGGGGAATAGGCGCTCCCAGAGCACTAAGGGGTCCCGCAGCACAGCATGGCAGCTAGAGTCTGACCCTGCCTCTGGAGCTTTGGCCCTGGCCGGGGGTGGGATCCTGGCCCAGCAAGCCAGACAGACAGACAGACTAGACCCAGTTCACAAACTGGGGAACAGACCGAGGGATTTTTCTCCATTGCTGTTACCACCCATTTTTTCCAGCCTTCCAAGAAATGTCAATATTTGGACAAGCCACTAAAAAAAAAAAAAAAATTGAGAGCAAGCTCAGCTGTCCCAGCCCCATCGGGCTCCCAGCTGCTCCAGCCTGTGTGGTGCTGAGTGAAGATCGTGGAGACTGCTCAAGACATTTTGGCTGCAGCCTGAATTTTCAACATATGGAAGTTGGTGAGGTGAGATGTGCTGGCAGGCCCACGGGCGTGGGGGTACACGGGCCGGTGGGCACGTCAGCCCCAGCCACCCAGCTCCCCCTGCCAGCAACCCTGGAGGTCAATGCAGGGAAGATGGCTCCTCTCCCAGGCTGCTGGCTTTCACCGTCCTCCGTGCTGCTGGGCTGCTCGGTCTTTACCCCTGGACTTGGTCCTTTTGGGATTGGTCTGAGCCCAGGACAACTCTAGCCCTCAAGATCAGGCTCCATCATGACCCAGACAGACATGCAGCCCCCCCATAGCGTTGCTCTGGGTCCAGACACTGCCGACCTATACGCATGCACAGCTGCACTCGAGGACCTAGGACAGAAGTTCAATAAACCTATTTAACCTAAATCAGCTAAGTCTGCTGCATCCATCCAGGTTTATCTTAAACCAGTTTTGGCCATTTTGAGAGTGGTTTATATGCACTGAATTTCTGTTACAGATTTGAACTGGTTTCCGAGTACTTATACCGGTTTATGTGTAATATTGATGCCTAGCCATGGACACGGCACACGTGGGACCTTCATGGAGCTGCCCAATGCAGTTGCAGGTGCATCTCACACCTTCACAGCTACACAACAGCACTGATGCAACATCTCTGGTGGGCTCCACCAATGTGCACACACAGCAAGTGTGTCACGGACACAGACGAACTCGAGCCAGCAATGCTTGCGTATCAGCACCATGGGCTTCTGCTGCTGGAGAAGCAC